GGCAAGCACCAACACGAGAGGACTGACTCCCTTCAGCAGAAAAGCAAAGCAGGAGCTGATCAAACTGAGGGAGGTTGGGTAGGGAGGAAAAGAAGAGAAAGGGACAGTGAACTAAAACATAGAGCCTGCAAGAGAGTGGTTTGTCAAAAGCCAAGATTTGAGATTCAGTTATTCCTGACCTGTGAGGGGCTGTATCTTACAGAAAATTTAACCTTGCCAACTGTATGGAAAAAAATTCAGTATTAGTTATGGTATGTTAACTTACACATTAAAACCAAACTTTTATGTGTAAGTTGTATCTAAACATTCTAAAAGTGTGGCTTGGACTGTTTTTTTAATTTATTTTTGCAGTTATATCTGTTAAGCATTAAGTTTTCAACTATGCTTTTTTTTCAGCATACATGGAAAATAATTCTTACCTTGTAGGGACAAAATCTTGCAGCCAGAAATAGGAGATCAATGTTGACAGTATAATGGAGAGAGAAGTTGCAAATCCCTTTAAAATGTTGTCTGCATATTTTATAACAGCAGCAATCACCAGCCCTCCAAGTGCCTGAAAAAATACTGAGGTTTGGATTTGCAACCTGATAATTCCACCGAGAGCATCTATTTTAACAATGTGCACTTATTTTAGGAAAAGGTTTTGCCTGTGTTTAGGAGCATTACATTTATTTTATGTTATGGATATGCACTGTTGAAAATAAATATTGGAAGAATTCTTCTTTCCCCATTAAAGAAATTGTTGATCATATTACCATTATTAAATTAGTGGAAATGCTTGCGCTATACATTTTTAACCACAGGAGGAAGGCATATATTTAAATTTTTTTAAACACTGCAAAAGAAATAATGCTTACATGCTTTTATGTTGCAGTTGCACAACACTCAGTCATCACATTCTTGCTATATTTGTTCCAGGTTTTCATTTAGAGGTTTATTCTAATAGTGACAGATAAAGACTTTTGACTACAGAATTCTCAGTAGCTTCAGTGACACCCACTAGTTTCCCCAGTCATTTATAGAAGAGTAAATCTCAAGTGCCTCCACAGAAACACGTGGTACAACGTATCTCACCTGTAGAACAACAACTATCCAAGTAAGTTTATTGTATCCTTGAAAAAATCCATTCTTTGACAGTTGCTCTCCATCATAAATGTATACACCCATCAGTCCAAATATGCTACCAAAAAATCCTGAAAGTACAAGATTGATTTAAAAGCTTCAGGTAAAACACTGCAGACAGATTCCTTGTCCTCAAGAACTGCTCACACTTATCTGATTTTAAAATAGGACTGCTACTGGCAGTACCATCACGTTCAAATGCAATTAGTGTTCAGACACATCTTTTATAAGCTATTTTCCACACTTCTAACAAGTTTTGCCTGTTTCCATCAGGACATTCTTATATACTTATCTTCCACTGCTTTCTACTGGAATGGAATGACATACAGCAAAATTCACTTAAACACAATTTCAGTTTTCCTGAAACTAGTCATGACTGAAGGCTGAAGTCACACTACAACCTGGAGAGAAAAACAGGGGAAACTTTCAGTGGAGGAGATGGTCACTGACATCGCAAGAGCAGGACTTACGGGATCCTTCTGAACCAGTCTCAAACACAATGAATGTTTACTAGTACAGACTTAATGTCAAAAGAAGAAATTGATGAGCTTAAATAGTTTATAATTTGGTGAGTAAAGTGTTCTTCTATCAGATCGGAAACTTTTCCTAATCCCCTCAGGCACAGAAGTAATGCAAGAACCTCCTCTGTGACTGATGTAGGCTCTAGGCCTGAGCAGGAAAGGTGCAATATTTTTTCCACTCCATTTCTCTGAAAAGTTGACCTCTATTTTCACACATTTCTTTGTGTCTGAAAAGGGCAGCATTGTTTTGAATAAAATAAAACTTTCTGTTTGACAAGAAATAATTCTTTTTGTAGATATAATTAAAAATCCAGGCTTCATTCAGATTAAATCAGTTACTTCTATTTTCCAAGTGATCTCCTAAAATAAATAAATAAAACCAACTATTCATACATCCCTAATATGATCCTGGTATGCATTAAAAACTGAATTTTTCAAAAAACTATTCAAATATATTTTCGATTTTTTTTTTCCTACACTTCTAGTAATTCTCTATGGATATGAAAATGAAAACCAGTTGGACATACAGGTTTTACTATTCGTGTTTTAAGAAAAGCTCTATTTCAAAGCTCTTGCTTATGACTGACTTGCTCCTGAATGATACAATGTCTTAAGCAGGCAACTATCTTGCACTTGCAAAAAGGATACACTAATGTATTTTTGAAATTGTGATTTCATGTTTTAAATATTTTCTAAAAGCTGTATCTGGAAATCCTCTATGAAATATGAAAGAATTAATTTCAGTGTTTAACTGGAAACAACCTTAATAGTAAACATATTATACATAAATTTTGTATTGTGGCAAATTAAGCTCACTGACCAAATAAGTATATAATCCAAGTGATTCAATTCTCTCTATTATCACAGACATTTATGTCTTCATGTATCACAGTCCTAGTTATTCATTACCTTAAACAATTTGTGTTTTGCCACAGTCTGTTCTGATCTCATTGTTTTCATAAAGCAATTCCTGGAACATTCACTATACGATCAGGCCGATTATCAAACTAGTGAATGGATTTGTTTTCATACACACTTTTGTGCACTGTAGAAAAATCTGAAGAATGTTTCAGAAAAAATAATTGATTTTTCAACAATTATGAATGTTTAATTGTAAATTGTTTCAGATATCTGCATTGTTGCCCATCGAAGCGCTGCTAGCGTGGAAATTGAGAGTAATAATCATCAGCTTTCCTTGGCGATGGATTTTGCATTGTAGCTCCATCCAAAGCACCAAATTTTACCCTGAATCCTGGACCAAGAAGCCTCAGCTACCCACCCTTCTCTGCCTCCAAAATTCCCTAACATAACCTTTCCTGATGTATGTACACCACGTTCAAGAAAACTTATTTTTACTATACACAATTTCAATAAAAACTAGCAGATAGTAAGTAGAGGTTTTGATTCCCTTCTCTATCCTCAAGTTTCAAACAATTTTGGAGATTAAACATATTAAAATATAATAAAAATGCAGTTCTCTATCTATAACTAAAACATGGCAATGGGAAAAGAAAGGAAAAAATATTGCTTGTATTCAGACATTTTTGACCAACTATTTAATTACAAAAGAATACAGCATCTCCTGTTTTTATGGTACTTCATTACATTCTACCAGACTCAGTACATAGCCCTGAGCCACTAAATCATCCTCATTACTTAATTCTACAGTACTACAGATTGGATCAAGAGTCTGTACTAAGGTGCTGGGAAGTTCAAATTTGTCTGAAAACATTTATTCAAATATGCAATAAATAATTATTGCCTACAGGGGAAGACTAGAGGGGCTCCCACTAGAGAAAGAACTGCAACTCCAACGGTATGTTTTGTTCGTGTTACAAAATGGGAACGAGAAGGGATTGCTGATGCCATATATCCAACCCCATAAACTGGACAAGATCGCTTAGAGGTGAGGGAAAACTCATTCAGGAAAATGGATCCACTCTGTCGCCATTAGTATCGAGGCTCTAGAAGACCCAGAACTACTTTGGAAATAGAAAGTATTCTTTTACTGACAAGTGCACAACAGGCTACAGAATTAAAATAGTTAAGACTAACTGTCTTTTGCACATGCCTCTCTCCAGTGATTATACAGACAAGTAAAACAAACTGACCTTTGTACTGAAATAATAATTCATTACCTCAACTTGATTCACAAAGCAGTTTTTTATATGAAAATTGTCAGCCTATAAAAACTGCCTACCCAGACACAAAAGAAAAAACAATTAATTTTAAAACATCTCAAAACATTGATTTAAAAGCATAATTTTAGTGTTCCTATATTTTCCTAAAAAAAAGTAAAAAAACCCAACCAAAAACTGAAAAAGGAATACTGTCTATATCAGATATTCTGAATTACTGCAAAAGACAATCATTTTTAAACAGAGGATACACAGAATCCTGCATAAGACAACATTTTTTACAAAATTTTGACTACAAATTCAATTGACAGATTCTGGACAAACTTACATTCTATAAGCAAGTTAAACCAAGAACTAGGTTCAGATCAGAAAACAATGGCTAGAATTCTATCTAGCAGAGTTTATACTCTCAGTTTTTAAGGTACATTTATGCAGACTACTAAAATGTTGGTGATTTTTTTTTTTT